TTCTTAAATGTTGACATTTCATTCTTGTACTATGTGATCTAAGCTCATCACATTATAAAGCCAGTATGTAACATGTGTCCAACTTTTGAGAGCGGAGGCAACGGAGAAATAGATGGAGCAGGATATGTATGATGGACTGTGCTGTACATAACCACCAGTTATGTACAGCACAGGGTCCACCAGGGAACGGTAACTCCACTACTTGTGAAAAAATACCTGAAATATCTCTTCTGGCTACTAGTATTTTTCTCCATGGCGTCCAGTGATCCCATTCCTCTGTATTTTTTTAGCCTCACACCATCAGAGAAGAAATATTCGCCAGGTGCCTCTGTGGTAGCAGCCAGCAAAGAGCCCATCATTACTAATGTGAGGGAGTGAGTGTGTGTTCCAGGCATTAATAGTACAGTACCCTGTATGTTATTGGTCTCTGAGGAAGGCATCTAAAAGATTTTTGAATTATTCAATCCTCCCTGCTGATTCCACTGCTTTTGGAAGAGGGTTCCACAATTTGACCACTCCAGACAAAAATCCCCTATGCCCTTTGTGGTTAAATGTTTTTTTCCTCCAATTTCAGGTGGTGACCTGATCTTTTTTAGCGAGTTTACAGTAAAAAAAAGTTTATTACTAAAAAAAAAAAAAAAAAAAAAAAAAAAAAAGACAGACAAGAGGCCACCACCTGTTAATATTCAAGGCTTCACATGTAATAAAATATACAACAGTTACCTAAGCTAAAAGAAAAATAACTCAATATTTTATTGGGTGAAAAAAAAAAAACTCTGCACTCAGCTAGGTAAATGCATTATTGTTAATTGTGACAGTACAGTTTCCTTACAATATAAAGAAATATTTATTTATATCTGTATCTCCCTCTCTGTCTACTTTAAGTGTCTGAGTTTTCTCCCCAACTTACCTGTAGAGGCACCTAGAGCCAAAGCTTTCACCACATGTCCCACTGTTTGAATTCCGCCATCTGCTATAACTGGGACACCAAACCTGCGAGCATATTCTGCAACTTTGTATACCGCAGTTCCCTGAGGTCTGCCACAGGCCATTACTGTAAACAAACAAAATTAGATTTAGAAGAATAAGGCATATGCAATCCTGCACCTTAAAAGATAGGTAACACAATATAAACCAGTTCACTTTCATTGGGGAAAAAGAAAAAAATAAGCACTAAAAAGTAAAAAGTAAAAGTGAACTCAACTGCATTAATTTTTTTTTTTTTCCCAGTCAAAAAACAAACAAACACAATGTTTAAATTGTAGGTTTCAAAGGAGAGCAGAATGATGCAGCTCCTTTGTTGTCCAATTAGCAGACTGAGTGTTGTTTTCAACCAAAGTCTGCTTCTGGGTGAATGCCTGAATCACAAGTCTGGCTAAAACACAACCCAAATCATTTGCCAGTTAAATATGCTGTTTTACAACAATTCCCTCACCTTCCTGAGTGATGCATATGGATCCACATCCCATGCCTACCCGAAGAGCATCCACCCCAGCATCAATGAGATTCTTGGCTTGTGCTGCCGTTACAACTAATGGACAAAAACAAACAAACCCAAAACAAAACATAAAAAGTTAGCTATAAAAAAACAAACGCTCAGACAATGCAACAAATGACAGTCTTTATTTCTTAAACAACATTAGTCTATTCATTTCACAAACGTTGCTCATTATTTGCTAGACATGACAGTGAGAAAGAAAAAGTTTGAGACCAGGCAAATAACACATTTATCACAAACCACCTTCCAAATAAAACCAAGATAAACAGACTCACCATTTCCTCCTGCCACTTGCAGATCAGGATACTTCTGTTTGATGTAGTGGATCATGTTTATCTGATAAACAGAATTACCCTGAGAAGAGTCCTGTCAGAGAAAATAACACCATCATTTATCTCCCTAATAGAGCCCACAGGATAATTGCATACATTACATACATACACATACCAGTACTACAACATCAACGCCAGCTTGCATGAGAAGATCGAGCCGATACTTGTCATCTTCTCTGGTTCCTACAGCCGCACCACAAAGCAGTTGTTTGTGGCAGTCCTTGGAGGCAAGCGGGTAGTCACGGTTCTTCTTCAAGTCTGTCCTAGCAATGATGGCCACTAGCTCATCACTGTCATTTACTATGGGCAGTTTTCCTAAAGTAAAAAAGGTGACATTAGTTCAAAAGTGTGAAATGTGTTCTCCCCACTGATACAGCAAACAAACCTCATGCACGCAGTCACTCAGTAGTGATTTAGTAGAGCCAGAAAAGTAAGGCACATAAATGTAGAGCTGCATATACCAGAAGCTGAAAGTTGTACAGAGACAGTGTGTGTGTATTCTAACTAGCTGCCAACTTGCTTATCAACAAATACTGACCTATTTTTTTTAATTGAGGGCTTTACCAAATAGATAAACTTACTAAAACAATCCAACAAATGACCTTCTTAAAACGAATTAAATGTAGAATAGTAAATTCAGTTTGTTTCAACTGTGAACTCAAGCAGAAGGCTGTAAGCAGCCTGCAAGGAGGACACCATCTTCTCCGAGCTGGCTAAGCAGAGTCTTACCACCACGATCCATTTCTGCTGTATTTGATGGCTTTTGCCTCACTCTCTTACTCACAGAGAAAAGCCAAGGGGTAGTAATGGAGAGAAAAACTGTATCTGGTCCAGGATCATGCTCACCTTTTATCAATGAGTAATTATAAAATGTGCGTGTAAGAAAACAAAACAAATCACAGCACTACGACATCTAATTTTTCTAGCATAGAACAGTTAATGTTAAACCCAAAGATCAAAAAAAGAAAAAAAAGGGTTAAAAAAGGGTAATTCACTTTCTCACAATTTGTGGGGAAAAAAAAATGTACTTGTCAGTACAGCCAGTGTAGGAGTCTGTACACTGTGCACCAGACTTCCCACCATACTATGGAATGGTCATAATGCTCACAAATAGCAAGCTGACCAATGAGAAGCGTTTGAGTCTGGGACCTGGCCTCGGATGCAAGAGGGGCTTCTCATTGGTCACCGCGGTCATGGGACTGTGCTGCCCAATGAACACTCGACATTTGTGAACATTATGAACATTCCATAGTGTGGGTCTGGAAAAGCCATTGTAGGGACTACTACACCAGCTAGCAGGGACTTCAGATGTGTATGTGCACTGGGGGCAAGTTTATTTTTTCCCAATTTGTGAGAAAGTGAACTTACCCTTTAAAGAGGACATACTCAATGGGGTCAAGTACTTTTGTTCAACTGAATAGAACTTGTTCAGAATAAGCTCTGGGTATGATATGTTAAACTCAAAAACAGACATACATAGTGAACAGGTTTCCCAAACAGTGAATTTTCTTTAAAGTAGGCAATATTTTGTTGTATAGGCCTTGAACATACAAGCACCAAAAGAGAAATGTCAGTGTGAGTTCACACAAAGCACAAGGCTAACCGCACCAAAAAAGGTGCATAAACTTTGCATTAGGCTCAGCACACAAAAGGTGCTCAGTAAAGTAGCAAACTATATTAAAAATAAGATTGATTGCAGCATCAGTTCAATGCGACAGTTTCCCCCAATCACTTAGGACAACTGCACTTATGTTTTAAAATCAATATTGTAATGAGCCTAGAACACTTTTTACAGTGCATTTCCACCTTTACAGCCCAATTAGAACACCTAACCTAGAATTTTGTTACATGTTCCTATTCACATAGAACTTTTAAAAACATATGTAAAATTGCTGCTTTTCTTTTTAGATGCTCTTTTCTGGAAACTGCAGGACTGAAAAATCCTACTTAGTTAATCTCACTTGTAAAAGATCTCAAAGCTTGCAGGGGTGTGGAAATGTTTGAAAAAACTACTTGTCCAAGGACTAAAGCGGGGTGCCGAATCTACTTGTCCCTCATGACAATCTACTTGTCCTGATACAAAAACATTTATTTGAACCAAAACCGTATTTAGCAGTGCTAAGAAGCGCTTCTCATTGGTCAATGCCGTCAGGTGACCGCGTTGACCAACGAGTGCTTGCAATTTGCGAGCGAAATTCAGAATACATGGAACAGGTACAGATAGTACACCTGTACTGGTGGACGGGAAGGATCTGTCGCCGAAAGGTAAGTATAGTGGAAGGGAGATTTGTGCGGGTAATTCCATTATCCCAAATTACTTGGAAAGTGAATATACCCTTTAGGGTTGGTGCAGACTTGCGGATTCCCGGGACGTGCGATCGTGTGCGGTTGCATTCGCATGTATGGGGTTACATCTGGGTGGCAATCGCTGAAAAAAAAAAAAAAGGTACATGTACCTATTTTCACAACATGCACCGCGCAGTGTTTTCAACCGTGATCGTGTGGGATCGCCGGGCGGTATTGCAGCAGGAAAATGTGCAATCTGCCTGGCACGACTGGGGTGCCATTAGAAAATAATGGCACTTGACAGCACGATCGGCGATGGTGTGCGATTCCGTGACCACCCAGCCATCCTCTCGGTTTCGTGCACAATGACCAGGCAGTCACAGATCGCACACTACTGCCGATCATGCTGGCAGTGCCATTATTTTCTAATGGCACCCCAGTCGTGCCAGGCAGATTGCGGTGTTTTCCGAGCGGTAGCACACGATTGCAGTTGAAAACACTACGCGTTTATTCACATGCAGATGGGGCAGCGGGGCTGGTTTTCATTTTTTCAATTTTGATTTACTTTGTAAAAAATGTTCATGCGTTTTATTATTTTTACTTTAATCACCTTTTTATTTTTGAAATTTTTATTTAGTTACATTTTTCACTATTTATTACTTTTTTTTTTAAAAAAAACTATTAAAAAAAAAACGTAACTGTAGTGCTTATATGGACGGCACACAGGCTGATTGAAGTTTGTAAACTGATGTATCCTTAAACTACTCATTTATGCTTCTAAATCGATCTACCATTGTGAATACCTTTGCACTATATTTTGCAATTTTTAAACAATAAAGAACCATCTGCACTAGGGTGGGCGCCCTTCTCTTTTTTTTTTTGTAATGCCTTACCCGTTTGAAAGGTTGAGCTGGATGCTGTGGTTGCTGGATGCTGTGGTTGAATCGGTGGTGTTAGATCGAGGGGGTGGCCACTGCTGCAGCGGCTGCTGCCGAGGTGGCTAAGTCGGCTAACGAAGGGAAGAGGGGAGGAGTCCGGTGACATCACGGACATCGACGTCCCCGGACTCCTCCCCCTTCCCTTCGTTAGCCGTTAAGGACATCGACGTCACCGGACTCCTCCCCCCTTCCCTTCGTTAGCCGACACAGCCACTAGGGGAAGGGGGAGGAGTCAGGTAACGTTGATGTCCGTGACGTCACCGGATCTCCGAGGAACTCCCGGAAGGCGGCGGAAAGGTGAGTTCCGATCAAAATTATTTTGATCGATCAAAAAAATTAACGATTAATCGTTAATTTCCGCAGCCCTAATTAAAAGCAATGCAGTTATTAAAGCCATTTTTAAAAATGTGGATTATTGGGCTCCTGTTTAGCAGTCGTATCTGAAAATAGAGCTGTTGTGATCACAACTACAAGATTCCAGCTGTCAGTTTCAGGTGTACTTTTCAAGATAAAAATATGATTTATCTGATGATGAAATTAAGATTTTAGGCAGTGATTTAGTTTTCAAAACTAGATACCTTTAAGAGGAGCATAATTAGTGTTTTGTACATAATATAATTGGCAGGAATAAACTTTTTTCAGATTTTATCAAGAAACACGATATACAAATTTATATACACAAGACAATGACCGCATCGATCATTTCTCTAACCTCTTCCCCTCCAGTCTGCTGTAGCAGGAAAGAATAAAACCTCAGTGATGAAGGGAACTAGCTTTGGTTAAGCTCAGTCATATTTTTGTGCGATTTCAGTGCCAGTGGTGCAACCTGAATTGTCCGTTTAAAAATAGAAAACAATTTGGGCTCCTTCACGTCAGTTCTGTTGATCTGCACAGATCAAGGCAGGCGAAATGCCAGGGCACACAAAAGGACAATAGTTTTCTACATGCCCCGTTTACACCAGTGTTGCCCTGAGGTAGGTTGCAGACATGATGCACTTTTCTGCAATGTGCCACAGCTCACTCGAAGTCAATGGCCATCACCCCACGCTAAAATGGCTTGTTTTAGCATGGGGGCTACCGTTAAATGTAGGACAGGAGCTCGTTTTAGAAACAGATAGCACTTTGGTCCCTTGTGCACTGCACCAAAATCCAGTTCTAGCCACAGATGGTAATGCCATTCTAATGTTCATTTAAAATGCACACAAAATTTTGAATGAAAGTGTTAAAAAAGGACAATTAAATGCGTGTCATTTTTTGTATGTAGAACAGGAAAATTACCATATTTATATGGGCCCCTCTGCAAACTCAGCGAATGGCAATTGCGAGTGTGTGTGTGTGTGTGTGTATACACACACACTTATATTAGTCTGAAATGGATTTTCACAACCAATGGCAGGTTTCCCTGAGAAAAGCTAAAACAGTTATGGCTTTTTATGGAAATCACCCCCTTTTAATACTAGGATTTACTTACTACCATCTTCTACCTGAGGTCTGCTTGTGTAGTGGGTTACAAAGCAGATGTTTCACAATTAAAATGAAGGTTATGTACCGTCCTGGCCAAAAGTTTTGAGAATGACACAAATATTAAATTTTCACAAAGTCTGCTGCTTCAGTGTTTTAAGATCTTCTTGTCAGATGTTACTATGGTATACTGAAGTATAATTACAAGCATTTTATAAGTGTCAAAGGCTTTTATTGACAATAACATTATGTTTATGCAAAGAGTCAATATTTGCAGTGTTGACCCTTCTTATTCAAGACTTCTGGAATTCGCCCTGGAATGCTGTCAATCAACTTCTGGGCCACATCCTGACTGATGGCAGTCCATTCTTGCATAATCAATGCTTGGAGTTTGTCAGAATTTGTGGGGTTTTTTTTGTTCACCCGCCTCTTGGAGGCTTGACCACAAGTTCTCAATGGGATTAAGGTCTGGGGAGTTTCCTGGCCATGGACCCAAAATTTCCATGTTTTGGTCCCCAAGCCACTTAGTTATCACGTTTGCCTTATGGCAAGGTGCTCCATCATGTTGGAAAAGGCATTGTTCGTCACCAAACTGTTCTTGAATGGTTGGGAGAAGTTGCTCTTGGAGGATGTTTTTGTACCATTCTTTATTCATGGCTGTGTTCTTAGGCAAAATTGTGAGTGAGCCCACTCCCCTGGCTGAGAAGCGACCCCACACATGAATGGTTTCAGGATTAGATTGCTAAACCCAAACCTGCCTATAGAATCCATCTAAATTATGCAGGAACTTTCTTTACTATTAAGCTAGGCCATACACGTTGCTCACCTATACTACTAACAGCAACAAAGCCACTGACTGGATAAATACTTCCCAAGTACAGTGATTACCACTACATTCCCATCAAAAAAGAAGGAAATGTGTCAGTCATGGTGAAAGATTAAGAACACCTCATGGAAATCATTAACTTTTTCAACAATTACAACTTTATTCAAACAGTGCCTACAGATAAGGGGGTATACTAAAAAGTGATATACTTAAATATGAGCACAAGAAAAATTTGCCTCTTCAATTTATTCATCAAAAATATCAATAGATGTAATGGTGTATTGTGCCAAAAAGTATACCCTTGGCATCAAAAGCTGGTATAGCTCTCCAGTAGCAGAAATTACTTCTTGTAGATATTTTCTTTAATTGCCAATCAGTTTGACACTGACTCAGACATTTCTGACCACTTCTCCATGCAAAATTACTTCATGTGGGAAAACCCACCATTTACTTGCAACTGAAGTGCCAGTTTAAAAATTCCCCTTACAAAATTTCAATGGGAATCAAATCAAGGCTTTGACTAGGGCACACCATAACCCTCTTTTTATAATTGAGACATTCCTTGATGGATTTGCTAGTGTGTTTTAGATAAATATTGCATTGAAAGACAAATTTTGATTCAACTTCAACTTTTGGACAGATGACCTCACATTCTCAATAAATTAAACTTTGATATGATTCTTGAATCTACGATTGCGAGCTGCCCAGGGCTTAAAGCAGCACCACAACCCAAACCATAATAATTCCTCCACCAAGCTTCACAGTTATGAGGCTGTTCCCCTGAAATAATGCCTTTAGTTTGCAGCAAACATGTCCACTGTTATTGTGGCCAAACAACTATCTTTGACTATCAGTTGTTAGTACACTGATACAGAAGACCCGGTCTTGGCCTACATGTTCAATGACAAACTAAATTTTGCTCTAATGTTCTTTTTGGACAGCAAAGGCTTTTTCTTAATACACCTCTCATGCAGGTTGAATTTGTACAATCTTTCTGATTGAAGGTGTAAGATCTTTGACCTCAACTTTTGCAAGAGTTAACTTAACACCGCACAATGAAATTTTGGGGTTCTTGGAGACTTGGCATTAAAGAGTCAGCTCTTGAGCTGAATCTGCAGGGCTTGCCAGTCCTGGATAACTCAGCAATTGTTTTAAATCTACACCAAAAACAGATTATTTTCTTACGGTGAAATGCTTGATTCTGTATAATTTGGGGCAAACTTCTTTAATCCCTTGCTAGACTTAGTCATCCACAATTTTCCTTCTTAGGGCCTTACAGAGCTCTTTTGATCATGGCATGATAACACCAAACCCTAGATGTCTAAGGTTTAAATATACACTATATTGTCAAAAGTTTTGGAACACCCCTCCAAAATCATTGAATTCAGGTGTTCCAATCACCTCCATGGCCACAGGTGTATAAAAATCAAGCACATAGGCATGCAGACTGCTTCTGCAAACATTTGTGAAAGAATGGGTCGCTCTCAGGAGCTCAGTGAATTCAAGCGTGGTGGGGATGGTCCCTTCCTGTTCAAACATGGCTGGGCACCAGTGCACAAAGCAAGGTCCATAAAGACATGGATGAGTGAGTTTGGGGTGGAGGAACTTGACTGGCCTGCACAGAGTCCTGACCTCAACCCGATAGAACACCTTTGGGATGAATTAGAGCGGAGAGTGTGAGCCAGGCCTTCTCGTCCAACATCATTTCCTGACCTCACAAAGCACTTCTGGAAGAAGTGTCAAACATTCACATAGACACACTCCTAAACCTTGTGGACAGCCTTCCCATCTGTATTTAGGGCTGTAATGGTTCCTATTAGGCCTTTTAATGCATCTTGGATCTATTTTTCCTGTCATACTGTCTTGACATACTTTCAACTATATTACCT